GGGAATAAAAAATCCCCCCAAAAATCCAATTCTCAGGCTGAACATCTAATAGCTATTTGTTCAAAAAGCAACATTTTAAAAGTAGTCAGCCTTTGGCCTGGTATGTTTCTGTCTCATTTGCTAGTTCTTAAGTTTAGTACAAAATAAAAAAAAAAAAAAAAAGTCAGCCTTTGCTATTGCTGTACCCAAATACTGTGTCTTTCAGTTTCTATGTAATTTTTCCCCCTCATTACAGGCTTATTCGATTTCTCACTCCATTTAAGTTGCACTGCATTCTCTAGCCATGCAAAATATTCCTAAAGGAGCACTAAAATATTCAAGAAATGCGTTATGATAGGCCATTTATTAAATATGAGGTGCATTTAACAGCCTGGAGGACAGTGACCAGTGTCATCAGACACTTTCTTTCTCATCAAATGTACTCATTTCCCCAATGGTTGACTTGCACTGTTCAAAAATTTATTAAAGATTGAGTTACTCTGCCTGGAATTTTCGGTTGAAATGCTGCTCATAACAAAAAAATGGTGCAATTTCAGTACCTTGGGAGCTATCCCAAATACATAAATACCTCAAGTACCAAAAATCATTTCAACCACCTCTTTCAGTTCTCAACCAGATCAATTCATACAATCATGGAATCATCGAATATCCTGAGTTGGAAGGGACCCACAAGGAGTCCAACTCCTGGCCCTACACAGGACAGGCCCAATAAATCCCACCATGTGCCTGAGAGCGTTGTGCAAATGCCTCTGTGGTGCCATGGCCACTTCCCTTTATATTCCTTTAAAAACCTAATTATTTTCAAATTCATTCAAGACTCAACATGATTTTGAAATCAGGGAGTAAAGGGGTGACCCACAGGCAGAGCAATTCAAGACGTTAACAAGGACCAACCTTGCTGGTCTGCGACTTTAAAGATAAACGGATGTTTGCACATACAGAGAAGCAACAAATTGAGTATTAAAAAATATTTTAACAAATAAAATATCAATTTGTTCCACTACTAGAGGGACAACTTGCATGCACACACACACAAAAATCCATGAGAAAGTCAAAAGAAAACAGCTACTTGCTTTTGTCATCACTGGAAAGAATGGTCCTTCTTCCTTTAGACATCTCCTCCTCCCCTTTCTAAGTCAGAAGATTTATAAATTTGTTTTATCCTTGACTCACTATTTTACTGTAGATAATCCAAGCCTTGCTTCAAACCCAGGAATGATCCTTTTTATGGGGTTGTGGCGCATGCATAGTAAACAGCTTCATATTTACAACACCATCACACCTACTCACACAGCACTGTACCAGAACAATTACCCTCATTTTTTTCATATCAGAATCTAAAGAAAAATATTTAGAATTATTTAATGGGTAAAGTGTTTTAGGTTACCCAGTTTGAAACCCCTAGAATTCCAATTTCCACAGTGGTTTGCACTTCTCAAGTGTTGTCAGCGCATCCCACTGACACAGCTACGCTGGTGGGACTAAGGAATCATAATCTCAATCCATATCCTAAAAGGAGGCACTTTCCCACTCACCAGAAATCCCAAGTGACCTACAAATACTATTTTTGCCTGTCACTGCCCCCATCTCCATTCTGTCATGAAGAACATCTCCCCCAACTATCTGCCTGCAGCCCTTGTCGTGGCAGAGAGAATCATGGAATCACAGAATCCTTTGGGTTGGAAAAGCACCCTAAGATCATGAAGTTGAACCATTCCCCCAGCACTGCCAGGGCCACCACTGACCCATGTCCCCAAGTGCCACATCCACATGGCTTTTTAACCCCTCCAGGGATGGGGACTCCAACACTGCCCTGGGAAGCTCCTTGCAATACCTGAAAACCTTCTCTGTGAAGAAAATTTTCCCAGTATCCAACCTGCCCCTCCCCTGGCACAGCTGGAGGCCGTTCCCTCTCCTCCTGTCCCTGTTCCCTGGGAGCAGAGCCCGATCCCCCGCTCCTTCCCCCTCCTGTCAGGGATTGCAGAGCCAGAAGGTCCCCCCTGAACCTCCTTTTCTCCAGGCTGAGCCCCCCCAGCTCCCTCAGCTGCTCCTGCTGCTCCAGCCCCTTCCCAGCTCCGTTCCCTCCTCTGGACACAATTATTCCTTTATTTTATATCCAGATATAAATATGTGTTTTTATATCCACACTCCATATATATTTTTACCTCTTTCCTGTTGCCAAACCCACATCAGATGCCATCTAACCTCACCTTAAATCTACCACAGATTTCCAGGTCCCTCTCATTTCATTTCTTCTCACTTTATAATTTCACTTTCTCTACCTCCCCACCACACTCCAGTTTGATGTGCAGGTCCTGTCTCTGCTACACATCACGATGGCTCTGGGGAAAGCACAGAGGATACCCGGATAAATCCATCCCACAACTTAACATTTGACAACACAGGAGTCCCTCAATAATCAGAACAGCTGAGACCTCACCAGATCAAAATTACCATTTCCTGAGTGAAAACAGAGTGTTTTCAGGGTTAACAGTAATTTCTTGACAAACTTACCCATGAAACTTCAATAAATTTGGGCAATCATGAGGGGAAGTAAAATGTGCACCCTTAGTTGCATTAGGAACTCAGAAATACTTCATGAGCATAAACTACATACCCAATTATTATTAATAAATTACTAATAAACCCAGGTATACCCAGTTTAAAATGATCTAAGGTTAAAGCATTGAAGTTAAAGGACAAAGCAACAAGGCATTCAATATGTATTTTTGTGATCAATCACCTCCAAACACGACTTCAAGGAAGAAAACGTAGTAAGAAACACATTTGTTAACTCTCTCTATTCCTACATAAATTATCTGTAAGAAGCAATAAATGGCAACTCTTTCCAAAACTTTGCTGCTAATAACTCACAGAATACGACAGTGAACATGGGAACTAGTTAAACACAACAGCTGAAGTGCTTCAAATAGGTAGAATAATTACTGATGTTACAAATGATGATGTTTCGATTGAGAAAACATTCAGATTATTTAGACTGCAGTGATTCGAAGTGTCACCAAAGAACACTGATGCTGAAATCTGAAATAAGGAATGCTGAGAAGTGTTAAATATTATGAGGGAGAATGTAAACTTATTTTGAATATAGAAGAATTATCTTGTCATATAACCCAAGGTTTAGTAAGCACTTCATACCAAATACAAACCGATCTCAATCAATATGACTGATACTGTAAAATAAATACTCTGTCAAATTATTTTCACTAGAAAATACAAACTCCCTTTCCCTTGATGAGGTAATACACTGCCGGTATCAAAATCAAACGTTTTTCTCCCCCACCTTTTCAGTTATGACATAGTTTCACTAGTCTGGTAATTTTTCTTGCTTTCTTGCTTGTAAAACACAAAGGTAAATTCACAATCATTCCACCACCACAGCTATAAATTTTGACTTTCCCTGGAGCTTAGGAAATGTCATCTCTGTTGCAGAATTAGGTGTGAATAAATCTCATTCAACAGCTAAGCAGCGAGTTAGAAAATAGATAAAATAATAGTTTCAATCTCTGTATCCCCAGTAAGTCAGAGGAGAAAGTTTTCACTTAGTTTCCTAAAATAACAAAGAGAAAATTCCCCACGAAGGCTGGTTTTTTTCCACACATAATTGTGAACACAATGCTATGGATATACATCCCCCACAAGCGTCCATGATGTCTGCAACATCACAGAAAGTGGAAAAGACTTTACCTGAGGAGAAAAATGATGAATATTCTCATAAAGAGGCCGGGGACAATATCAGATGTCTCGCACAGTCTTCACTACGTTTATTTTCACTAGGCACAACGACTGCCTTTGCATTGAACAGCAGCCTTTTCCAGAAGGCAGCAGCAGCATCATCAGTTTGGGACTGAGATGTCACATGTTTTCTGTCCCTGTTTGTCAAACCTTTGCTGCCCATAACGTGCAAACTCCCACACAAAAGCCAGAGTACAATCGGACCACACAGGGATATTATTCCCAGGATCTTACCAACAAGGGGACCTGTGAGCTGAGAAGGTCCTGAAAGCCATGCAGAATTCCTGGAATATTGACCTACAATAATTGTGCAGGGAAAACCATGGATGCAAGAACAGGTGCAGACGACAAGCCCAGTCCAAAACACCTCCACTTTCAGCCTTAAATCCAGCAGGACTGAGCAGCTCCTGACTGCATGTGACAGACGCTTTGATTGTACCCTTGTGCATTAATTCAAGCCAAGACGACACCACTCCCTAATAATAATTTTAACAAACCCTTGCCTTAAGTCAGAATGAAAGAGAAACATATTTTCAGAGACTGTCTGCAGGTTTGTTGGTTTGTTTTTTTTTTTTCACTTTGTAAAGAACAATCCTCAAATGTGAGATAAGGAAAAACCATCAGACAGGACTGGCAATGAAATTAACGGCTAAACAATTAACTGCCAAGAAAGTTGCTTAAGTAGAATTGTATCTATTGCTGGAAGAGAGGCTGCAGCACTTTGCCTGCAGCTGAACTGACTGCTATCAACTGTGTTTGAGAGACGCTTTTTCCATATCTTTGATTAACATAATTCATGATTCAAGTTGAATGTTAATGTTTCCAAGACGCTGAGCTGAATCACCACCTTCATTTTTTTTTTGTCTTGTCTTTCTCACTTGCCAGGCAAACAGGATTTGACCATTCAACCAACTCCAGATCCTGGTCACAAAACTAAACTGCCAGACTAACCAGGCTTTGCATTATTTAGAACTCTGCAGCTGGATTTGTCAAGGACACCAGGGACAAAGAGAACTTCTTTCTCTCTATCCCAGCCACTCCATATGAGCACAAATAACTCCTTATAATTCCAGCCCACCAGCAGCAAACAACTACTCCTCATTAAAAATAACACAAATCAATGTTTGCCCTTTGCCTTTTGCAGCCTGAGGAAACGGAGCTGCATGAAAAGAGGAATTGGAGTCCTGTATCAGAACCACTTATTGCATGGAGAAACACTTCATTTTCCACGCCCTTCTGATACTCACATCGAATTCATTCAAGGCAGCAGCAAGCTCTCCTATGCCAGTGTGGCCCTTGTTCTCATCGGTGGGGGAGGTGGCCTGGGCAGCGTTGGAGATCCCAGCGATGGCTTCCTGCACTTGCTTGAAGACGTAGTCCCTGTTGGCCCTCGTGGCTGCCACGTCGGGGTGGCGGAGGAAGGCCTGGGACGCCGTGTACAGCATGGTGGCGTTCTTCTTCAGAGCCCCTCGGGCCGCAGCCATCTCATCCCGGCAGTGAGGGTCCTTCAGCTCCTGCACAAAAACACACGGTTTGCACGGAATCACCGAAGGGTTTGGGTTGGAGGGAACCTTCAGCATCACCCTGTTCCAACCTTCCTGCAATGGGCAGGGACACCTTTCACTAGCCCAGGTTGCTCCCAGCCCTGTCCAACCTGGCCTCGGACACTTCCAGGGATGGGGCAGCCACAGCTTCTCTGGGCAACCTGTGCCAGGGTCTCACCACCCTCCCAGGGAAGAATTTCTTCCTAATATCTAATCTAAACCTGCTCTTACTCAGCATAAAACCCTTCCCCCTCAATATTCCACTACATGCCCTTGTAAATGATCTTGCCTCATCTTTCCTGTAAGTTCCCTTCAGGTTCTGGAAGGCCACATTTAGGTCACCCCAAAGTTTCTCTCCTCCAGGTTGAACAATCCCAGTTCTTTCAGCCTTTCCTCCTTTCCTCTCCATCTGATCATCTTGGTGTCTCCTCTGGACTCGCTCCAACAGCTCCTTGTCCTCCCTGTGCTGGTGCCCCAGAGCTGGAGGCAGCTTTGCAGGTGGGGTCTCACCTGAGTGGGGCAGAGGGGCAGAATCCTTCCCTCTCCTGCTGCCCACACTGAGGGATCAGCCCAGGATATGACTGGCTTCCTGGGCTGCGAGGAATTACAACTGTAACTCACAGTTGTAAATGAAAGTTTTTGTGTTTGAATATATTGCCTCAGGTATCCATGGATAAACACCATCCGGTGGTTTTGCAGAGAGGGAATCAATGAGAGAGTCCACCACAAATCACAGAAAGAATTCTCCTCCTGCCCAACAAAGTCCAGTCCTTCTGTGTGGCTACAGCTGTTGCATTCTGCCCACAGTGTCTTACAAAGAGTCCACACACTTCCCTTATGCAAAAATCCACAAAAAAATTTATATAAAACATTCAAAATTACTCTTCCTGATCTATGGATTTGGTCTGCTCATTCCATAAAGGCAACGTGAGTGCAACAATCCCGCTGCAGCAAGTGCCTTATTTTTCTAAGTGCTATACCCATGTCCTTCATACAATTACCATAAGGTAGACCTTTAAAAAACTATCAAAATAATAATATTACATAGATGAATATGGTTTTAGCTCTTACAGACCTAGAAAATGCACCTCTCGTTATTTTTAGCCTTCCCCTCACATTTTGCTCTATTCTTCACATCATGCAGTGTTTGTCTATTTAGTATATGACATGTATTTTCTTTTATTTCCCCTGACAACAAGAATCAGCTATTGCACAATATGTTACCAGAATAAGATGGTACTGTATTATTGTTGATTTTGTTTAATTATAGGGTACAACACATTGTCCCTGAAAGCCTTTGAAACGTTAGTTAAGATAGTCCTAGAAATATCCATGAGGGATAACAAAACATTAATACTTCTATTTAAAAACTATGCATAAAGAAGTCTGGAGAGCTGAATAGTTTACTTATGTTCACACATAGAATCTACTGCAAACACCGAAAAACAACCCAGATATTCTGGATGTAGAGGTTCTGCCCATGGATTGATTTCAGCCACATGAGTTCCTAAAAAATTTATCAGGCTACAAAACAGAAGACACGAAAGGAAAATGTATGGACATCTCAGTAGCATGTCCTAATGCTGCCAAAATTTTCCAGTTATATGGAGAACTTTATTGCCATTATAAAAATGCATCTTAAGAAAATTTTAAGAAATTTATAACTTAAGTTGTTTTGTCATATTTTTATACCTCCAGTAAGAACTTAAAAGATATAAACCAGCATAAGCTTTCATATTTTTCTCTTTTTGCCATATTTATAACTCTATTTGCACAGGGAAAGTGTCTGAACATACAGAAGAGCACTGCTCATAGAGCGACTAGATTTCACATTTTTAACTCAGTACAACTCTGAAAATGATACTTTTCATTAAAAAAAACACCCAACCAAACAACAATAACAAACCCCACAATCATGATTTGGAAGTAAACTGCCATTACTGTAATTCAGAAAGGTAAACAGGCAGAAGGTTATTTGGAAAGCCAGCTTCCCAAATCCAGTGTGCCGCGTACAAAGATGACACATCCCTGAATTGTTGGTGGTATTCAAATACAGCTGAAGTTGGAGAGAGCTTATGCAACTCCACAGAGACAGCACTGTCTTAAGAAGAACAGTGTGCAGGAGAAAGTTTTCTTTACTGCAAAGTTGTACAATCACAGACCTTGAATAAATGTTACCGTGAGTTTCTGGTCTTTTTTTCAATTGCCCTGGCAATGAATAAGTAGGATGGAGCACTTGGCTCTTAAATATCTGAAAATTAATAATAATGGGTTTAAACACAAAGCAGGTTTCTGTTCCTCATGAATTTGAATTGCACTAAAGCACCAAAGAGCTTTGGCGGTGCTTTACCAGCTGTCAGAGGGACCTGAGAACCGCACAGGTTAGAATTAAATGGGAATAATCATCAAATGAAAACTATCCTTAACCTCCTGAATCACTGGCCTTTTCACTCCTCCATCTGTTACTAACTGAAGCTGCTTGGAAAGTACTCCAAAAGAAGCTGTACTCTTGAAAAGCTTCATCCCATTCAAAAATAATCAGCGAGATTAAATTACGGGCCGTGACACGGCAATCGCTCACCGCACATTTACAACCAGACTTGGACATAAAACACAAGGCCTTTAGAACCAAGACAGGCTTTCTCAACCCCTCACGGACTCACCTGTTGTCGTCTGGCAGCCACATAGTTCAGTTTTACCATCTCCTTCCCAAACTCTTTGAAGCGATTCGCTAAGTCTTGCTCATTTGTTGCATTTTTCACCGCTTCTAGCGCTTCCTCTACCTACAAAATAATACGTCAGATGTGTCAGCATTTTAATCTGGGTGCACTTTTGACAAATGTGTAACTGTTCCACCCAATACTCTCTATTACACGGACCCAATTTAGCTTTTACATCCATCACTGTACCCTTGCTCTGTGAGAGTCTGACCGACTTTAATTAGATTTCTTTAATAGAGCAGCTGTCATTCTGCATTTACTTTCCCTTTCCCATGCTCTGGGATCATGTAAAACCAATGTAAAAGGCATAACTGCATTAATTTCTCCGCTCACACTTATCAGATGAAATATTTAATATCTGGGGGCTTTAAAACAAAATAGATGAATATGTTCTTAATGTGTGGTACAGGCTTAATGGGAAAACAAAGGGAAATTATTAATTCAGGACAAGAAATAGAACTTAAAAAGGAAACTCCAACTTACCATTAAGATTTAAATTCTCCCTGACAAATCCAAACCATTTTTCTGAAATAAATGATAGCTTCAACCCAGAATATATGTCTCATTTTTTTTTTTTTCCCAGCTCTCAGCTTTCCTTTTTTTGGTTAACTAACACTGAGAAAAGAATCTACCCAAGAAAACACACCTGCAGTTACTCAGTCATGCCAAGTAAGCAAAGACGTAAAACCCCAGTTGTGCCAACAAGTTAATCCACCAAATCCATTGTGAATCTTTACCTTATGCACAGCAAGAAAAAAAAATATCTGAAGGCATAAAATGCTCTATTCATGTAACAAGTAAAGGAAACTTTACTGCGACAAGATGGGTATTCAACGTTGTATTTCTCTTCCTCACGAGACAAAAGTGCAATTCCAAGCAAAAAGATTGAGAACTGAAAAGATTCTTCTGATCCTTCTTTCTAAAACCTATTGCTGCAATTCACGAATATGTGAATAACAAATCTTCACCTCAGAGAGAAACTGGGATGGGGACGCGGTCCTGTGCCAGAGCAGAGGTTTGCAGCTCTCCAAAGGCTACTGGGAATCTCTAAATTCAGCAGTAGCTGGTGTCAAATATTTTAGAAAGGCAAAATTATGTGCAGAACCCGCCTTTTTATTGGTTTAGTTGCTCTGTGTTTTCCTACCAGTGAGAGAGAATATTTTACTTTGAGCTTTTACCTCCTTACTGCAGATTTACCAAATTACAGGGCAGTGGAGTAGCAAACTCATACATTTCTACTGGAAAATGCCTAATTCAAGCACATAAATTCACAGTTGTTATGTTGGAAATTACAAACTAAGTCTGAGAGTTATAAGTTACAAGTTTATCCAGAATCCAAATTACCTCTTCTTTTACTCCTAGAAAGAACAGCAGTTTTCAAAAATGAACTCTCTGCCTTACCAATAACACAAATGACAAAAGCATCACTCTGCTGACTGTTTCGTTCTTGCAGAATTTCTTGCAAAATATGAACATTTTCCTTTCATATCAAGAACCATTCACGTTAAACTGCCTGAGATTTTCACCTTTAATATGTTTGTCATGCTGAGCACAGGCATGACAAACTGACACACGTTCTCCCAAGTCCTGCCAGCACCATCTTAAATTAGATTGCTGAGGAATTTGTCACAGATTCCCCTCTGATAATCAGATTTCAGAAGGTGCTGATCATACTCTGTCCTGTCAGTCAGGGCTCAAGCCCACAGAATTCCAAAATAAAGAAACCAGTTACGAGAAGTATTAGAAAGGACAGGAGCACAACACCACCCACCCTCCCTTAATTGCATTTTTATTTGTATTGTTATTAAAATTTCTTTTCTACAAATTCATATTGGAGGAATTTCTCAATTCTCAAGAAAACACAACTTCACTCAACTGTACAGATGTGTTCTTCTAATTAGCAAGGAGTTAATTAAAATACTCATAGTTCTCTGCCTGCACGACCACATGCTGTATTGGTACATGAGGGCTTTTTATGAGTGTTAAAAAAGCTCCTGCAAAACCCATTATTCCTGAATTTTAGCAATGCAAAAACTAACCTGAAAGCAATAACCAAGTGTCCTTCCAGAAAGCATCTGCATCTATTCCCTCTAAAACATTAATTAAAATGCCCTATTTCCTGGAAGTCTTTGACAAGCTTTCAGAGAAAACTGATTACAGTACAATTCAGTATAAATCAGGGTTCAGTGCTTTGACATAGAGAATTATCTTAGCTCATTGATTTTATGGTTAACTTACACCAGTCTTTGAAAGTTACCTCTGAGTCAATATAAGATCTGCTCCTTCCCCAGTTTTGTATACCATAACCACTTTTTCTCCCCAGCAATTTAATTTTTGTTTAAAACTAATTAGGACTAAAAAATGGTCTGATAAACGTATTTACATGTTCAGTCCTCAGCAATAAATTATCCTTTTTAACCTGAAAATAAAAATGAAAGTCAACGTTGAATTTTGCCGAAAACACCCAGAGACTGCTGGCTTTTTGAAAACAGAATTCATAATATTATTGGATAGATGCAAAGACTGCAAGCCACACTGTCGTGCACTGCCCCTGCAAATCTAGGGTGCAAACTGTGTAAGTAAACACACCCACTTACAAACCAGCATCGGACATTTGTGTTTTCCATAACACAGCGCTCTGCTGTTAAAGGAAAAAAAAAAAAAAACACAAATCTCGGATGTGAGAACAATATTCCCTCATCGCCTGCGAAAGAGCTGGAACACAACCTTTCGATATAACGTTCAGGGGGAAAAAAAAAAAACAAAAAAAACTGTTGTTTACGATATTCCAAGCGTTAGCCTTGCTAGGAAAAGACCACGGGTTAGAGTTGCGTGGAGCATTTCAGCAAGGAAAACCTAAAAGCATATTTGAGAGAGACGCTGCTTACGCTGCACAGAGCCAGGGCCACGTGCTGACAGCGACGGGGGCAGCGCTTTGCTCATCAGAGCAGAGCTCGCCAGAACCCGCGCCGAAAAATCGGCCTCTTTCCTTACGGGAACTGGTTTTTTTTCCAACTGTTCAGGTTATCTGCACAGTCTGCAAAGCTGAAGGGCTCTCACTGTTTTTCCAGAACACGAATCGCTGTGCAGCTGAATCTGTCAAAAGAAGAAACTCCCCGTCTCCTCTGCTGAACTCGCACAGGCAGCTCTGCAGGCTTTAAATATCCCGTATGGGATTTTCTACACCGTCTTCTTTTGTTTCAGAGGGGTTTGTTGATTTGTTTGTGCCATAAAAGTGTAATACTCCAATAGCTGGGGGAAAAAGTTTTTTTTCCAGTTTCCACTTAATAGTCTTTTAATACTCCAGTATAAAAACATGAATGGTGGCGGCCAAAAGTAAATACAAACCCGCCACAAACGATCTGGCTATGTTTAATTCCTCTTTATTCTATTTTTCCTCTCTAATGACTGATTATAACTATTGTCTCATTTCAAATGGAACATTCAATCTTTTGACATACCCAGAAGTCAAGCAGAGACAAAAAAAAGAAAAGGAGGTTAACTATAGTACCTAAAATCTGCCACGAGATAGCAATGCTTGACAAGTACTGAGAGAGTAACCACTGGGGGAGAAGATGTGAGGTGAGTACACACTCCTGTTTACTTCGCAGCCAAATTAGTCCAGTCAGGGAAGATATCTGACAAAGTCTCCAAATATTAACGCCTGCAAGATTAGAAAGCGAACGAGACTAATATAGAAATGTGTTACGACCTTCCTCTTACCAGCACTTGCAGAAAAAACAGTGAAGAGCAAGGAATGTGGACAGCTACATTCCTAACTGATTTATTCCCTTTTTTTTTTTCCTACACCCAAAGCATGCAAACCCAGCAGAGAAAGTGAAGGACGCCTACGATTTTCAGATGCGAGAGGAGCCTCATGACATCAGCCATGTCAGCCAGGATGAGCAGGCGGGTGACGGCAGAGAGCAGGGCCCGGGCCGCCCTCACCATGGTGCCCCTCTTCACTGAGGAGCAGGGGTCGTCGGCGAACTCCGAGGAGGCAATTCGCATGGTTTCTCCTGGAAATCAAAACACACGCCCGTAAATTCATTAGGTTTGAGCCTTGTGGTTGTTTTTGGTTTTTTTTGTTCCAGAAAGTATAAACAGCTCACTAAATAAAGCAAGTGATGTTAGGAAAAAAAATCATGGGTTGGACAGTAAAGATCATCCAGTTCCAAACCCCCTGCCAAACACCTTCCACTAGCCCAGGTTGCTCCAAGCCCTGTCCAGCCTGGCCTTGGACACTTCCAGGGATAGGGCAGACACAGCTTTTCTGGGCAACCTGTGCCAGGACATGACCACCTTCACAGCCAAGAATTCCTTCCCAATATCCCATCTAACCCTGTCCTCTGGCAGTTTGAAGCCATTCCCTGTTGTCCTGTCACTCCCAGCCTTTGTCCGAACTCCCTCTCCAGCTCTCTGGGAGCCCCTTCGGGTACTGGAAAGCTGCAATTAGGTCTTCCCAAAGCCTTGTCTTCTCCAGGCTGAACAACCCTAACTCTCCCAGCTTGTCATCACAGATTTTATCTTAACCCAAAGAGATGTCACGTTTACCCAAACTTTGCTATTACTGAAAATAAAACGGATCCTGTTTGTCTCCAGTGCAGAAACTCAGAAAGAAAGTATTGCTAATGTGAAATCAAAGCATATTTACATTGCTTTTAAGACCATTATAAGAACATTCAAAAAAAATCCCAGATGGCACAACTTCCCATAAGACAATGCAAATAAGTGGGGGAGAGACTTAAAGACAGCCACAGTGAATAATTCCCATCAGAACTCTTTTCCTTATTACATTTGCCATTAGGACTGCATGTTCATATTATAATTTGTGTGCAGTGTATCCTGGATGATAAGCTGATAATATACAATTTCAGTAGAAAAATTCAAATAACACATCTCCAAAGCTACATACCCTTCTTAGCTTTCCAAAACGTTGGCAAAACTCTCAAAGGATTTCCTCAGAGAAAATGAACAAAAAATCATTGTCAGACAAAGAAAAACAAACAAGTTTCTAAACGTGGTTAAATGTTACACTGCTCAAGCATCACAGAGTCAAAGCTCTGGGCGCCTGCTCTCTGAAGAAAAACAAGTTTCTGCAGAGGAGGAGGAACACAGTTTGCTGTCCCTGCCTTCCCAGGCATTTCACCTCTGTGCCAAAAATCCCTGAAACCAGGAGCAAGGAACTCTGAGGCCAAAAAAATCCAGATACAAAGATACCCACGCTTCAAACCAAACAGTTATTAAAAACATTACCAATAAGTCCTTGGCTGAGAGTGGGCTAAAAATAGGGAATTAATTTTTGTTGGTTTTTGTTGGTTGTTTGTTTTTTGTTTTTTTTTAATGAGTGACTCAAAATATTTCACGTAAAAGGAAAGGTTGAGAGAAACCACAGAACAGCTGAAAGTCCAAAAGCTGAACAAGAGTTAGATGTGAGTTTCCTAACCTGGGAATTTGATCCCAGTGGACGACTGGATTCATCTAACCACTTTTAACAACTGGGAAGGCATTATCTTCCCTTTGGTTATTTATTGAAGGAAACCAACTATCACAGCTTTGAGTGGAAAGTTTGCTCCACTTTGCACTCTCAGAGCACATCGAGCTGATCGACCCCAAGGGGATACCCACAACTGCCTGAAATCCCAGCAGGGCTTTCCCTTATTTAAACCCTAAGCTGGATTCAGATGAGGTGGAAGTGATTCTAAGCATCCAGAAACAGAATTTTTGTATGTGAAAGTAGCGAATTTTAGGTATATCCAAGATGCAACGGCAGCCAAAGCAAGATTTAGATTCTGGGATCAGACGCCTGCAAAATAACTTCCATTTTGGTACTGGAGAGATTTTACCATTTTCTGCCAAATTACCAGACTGTAACTTGGGATAAGTATTTATGGTGAAATATGGAAGAAGGAAATAATATTTGGTAACAGGTCAATGGCACCAGGAAAGCAAGCAGGAAAATTACCCTCTTAGACTGGACTATCCAAGGAAAAAAATTGAAAATCAACACTGGTGGACAGCAGGAAAACATAAGGAGAGTCAAAAAAAAAAACTAGTTAAAAAAAGCTGGATTACTTATGTAACCACAGAAAGCCTCAAGTTATGTGAAATAAATCTAAAAAAAAAAAAAAAAAAAAAAAAAAAAAAAAAAAAAAAAAAAAAAAAAAAAAAAAAAAAAAAAAAAAAAAAAAAAAAAAAAAAAAAAAAAAAAAAAAAAAAAAAAAAAAAAAAAAAAGTATTAAATGGACATAATCAAATAAGCAAATCAAAAAAGTATTAATATGGAAGTTCACAGGAGGTTGCTTAAAACTCATAAAGATCTAGTAGTTCATAATTTAAAATCCAATAGCCTAGAAAACTGGTGGTTATAGGGAGGAAGCTCGTCTGTCTCAGTGCCAATTAACATATTTTAATCCTCGTACAGCAATGGTATCAAACCACTGTTAGGCTAAAGGTAATGCTGGAGCTTCAGCTGGCCCAATTATTTTTTCAGAGGAACCTTTTTATCTGGAAAAAGCCACCCCTCCATTGAGTGATCCATTTCTTTCCAAATTCATTTCAAGTTGCTCTGTAATCTATATTAAATTACTTTCGGAGAAAATTAGGTCGGCGCGAGAAACACAGACATCTGAAGTCATCAGGTCTGCTTCCCTGCCACTGCAGTCAGCCATGTCATAATATAATTAATAATAGTCTTAATATGATAATAGCTACACTCAAAAACTTATCAGGCTTCCATCTTAGGAACAGCTCAGACATTTAACCCCAATTAATCCTATGTGAAGCAGGAAAGTGATTCCAAAATGAACTCCAGAACCTGACAGGTTCTTTCCATTAGAGGCACTTTAATGCCACGCTGCCTGTATTTATAGATAATTTATATCCATTTCTTCCCATGCCCCATTTGTCCTTCAATTTCACTAAATGTTCTTCTTCCACCCTTATTCCCATTGTCCCTCCTTTGCTTTGTGCATTTTTGTGACGAGCCCTGACAGATTAAAAGCAGTATTTCAGTCCCCTCTAATTGCACAGAATATCCATTCCAATAATCATTCCAGCAGCCCCCATGAAACGGTTCTGGTTTTGGAGAAGAAACGGTAAGAAGTGCAGTTTTCTAGGACATACCGTTTGCAGCTACGAGAAATCCTTCACAGAGTCATGGAATATTCTGGGTTGGAAAAGGACCTGTAGGGATCACTGAGCCCAACCCCTGGCTCTGCACAACAGCCACACCCCAAGCCACGTTCCTGCCCTTGGGCAATGGCTAAAAGGTGTGTCCATAGCCTTTATTTGGCTTCTGGGATCTCATCAGCTTGAGAAGGTTCAAACCTACAGCTGCCATCTCCCAGCCTGGTCATCAAACCACTTCCCCTGCCCTGAGGGGATTTAACTGGGGGACCTACTCTCTCCCTCTCTCTCCTTCCTTGAGGGGGAATGCAAGAGGAAATTTGGTAATAGTCACTTTCTAATAATAAAGTTACAGTACCTAGAAATGGAGTCTTTTGGACCCGATTCTCAAAAAAAAACCCACTTTTCCCCCAGATTTGCAAAATAAAATGTTTTTTTTTTTTTATTCTGGATATTAAATTTGGGCACTCAAAGAACAGTAATTAAAGATATCTTTGCACGTGTTTAACCAGAATCACGTGCACATAAAAGTCACCTGGTAATCTGGGTAACTCGTGTGCTACAAGCTTAAAAGCTGCTTTCAAAAAATCAACAGCTGATTGCAAAGGCCACCAATAAAAGGCTACTGGAACTCTGGGAATCATGAGCAGACTTAAAGGTAAACATCTACCCATAAAGCAAAGAATGAACTAAACCTTTTTAATGGTTAATACACAGAGGAAATGTCATTTTTCCAAAGCCTTGAAGTGTTTATTAAAATCGAGACAGAAGACAGGCACAAAGCAGAAATCCAGAGAACAGCTCTCATCAGCAGGGGATGCTGACAATACTCCTAACACCTGGAAATAATTAGTGGAACAATGACAAATTGATTGGATACACCACTCCTGAGAAGTTCTCAGACGGAAGAAATTAATAAAGCTGCGGTCTAATTAATCAATCTCTTTCAGACTTTGGTTTTTGTTCTACGTGTCCAAGATTAAAAAGATGTGACAACTGATCCATGA